CACGTTAAGCGAAAATCATTCGATTCGCTTAAACGTTTCCTCGTCCACCTTTCCGGCCAACCTACCCTTTCCGTTCGTCGATTTAATTAAATCGAAAATTGTCGCGCGGCGAGAGAGATTCTCTCACATTCTCTCTCTCTCTCTTTCTCTCTCGATCGGCATGTCTTTCGAGATACGGCGACTAATTCCACGATACAAGAAGCTAACTTCACTCGGCGAATTGCAGCTTACTTTGGCTGGGAAGTAGAATCTGATGCATGTGTTGTTGTTAGAGTTCGTTCAGATTAGCAATATCTGAAATCACAGTGTTAGAATATTTGACGTGTCATTTTCATCAAATACAGAACATTTTCTGCACAAGAAGAAGTGAATAATATACCGAACATACGAACATATTGCACAGCCCTAGTGCCTAATAGAATTAAAGATCCTCTTTTCGAGAATCTCAATTCGTCAATTAAAAGTTTCGCAGTTGAAGTGTGGCTGGCGACTCTTAAACTTTACTAAATATAAATAAATATCGAAAGTTTCGAGTGGTCCTAATAACCTCGCCGGATTTCACCGAATTGCAAGTTTTTTTTAAAAACGCGCCGGCACTTCAATTTTCTCGCGTGTACACGAGTAGTTTGGATGTAATTGCGAGGCAGATACAGCAATTTCCCAGATGGAGGGCTGGCAAAGTTGCTGGCAAGAACGAGAATCACGATCCCTCACGCGGACAACATCTTTAATCGCCAAATGCTTTCGTAATATCTTGAAACGTGCGTCTGGAAAAGCTTCAACAACGGATCAAAAAGACCTCAACCATCCCGACTCGGTCGTGCCTCTCGGTCTTCCTAACATTTATCATTTCCCAACGAATATCTATCAATCGCAATTTGTTGCTGAATTTTAAAGGAATGTAATTTCGTTTCTCAATGATGCGGCAAATGCTGATTGCTGTTTCAAATTAATGGAAGCTGATGGATTTTGGTGAATTAATTGGATAAGAGTCTCTTCAAGAAGCAAAGATGTACATGCATATTGTAGAAAATTTTCCAACAAGATCTTGAACTCCTTTTCAACAAGATCTTCAGAAAGATTGCAGTCACGTGTGAAAAACAATATTGAGAAAATGGCCACCTTTGAGAAGGAAAATTATAGAGAATTTCCCCAAAAATAATTTCTTTCCTCTTTTTATCTCGTTACAAAAGAACGAATGTTAATCTGTGAAATTCAAGAAATAGGGCAACATAAATTTCGATTCGTGTGAAGAACAACATCGCGATTCTTTCAACAACAAATCCGTTTTCAGAGTTCCTTAAAATACCAAACTTTGTCGATGAAAGTAATCCAATTGCCTCGAATTATGATCTTGAAAGCCAATTAACATCGTTGTTTTCATTTTCATTTTCACGAAACGACGAACCACAGCGAAACTTATTAGAAACAATATTTCGAGGTTTATCTTGAACAATAATTCGAGCGTCGTTTCGCTTTTAATTATCAGGGATGAAGGATCGTCCGTCTGCTTGAATATTTATTGTTCACGGTGAATCTGGTGGCGCAAAGAAAACGAAGGCAAAAGTTTCTCGAGCGTGAAATCGCGCACTCGCGGACTGTGTTTGTGCGTTCGTCTTCCCGAATATTTCTTCGGCGTATTTGCACGTATCACGTCGGCAACCCAGTCTGAAACTTCTGCCCGTTGTTTCCTGAATTTCATAAATATTCATTATCCGCGCGCGCATATATGTGTGTGTGTGTGTGTGTGTGTGTGTTCTGGCAAAGGTGGGTTTTCAATATGGAGACACACAAACAACAAATTAACGCATGCAAATTTAGAAGAGCGACGTTAGAAGAAACATTTTCAATAAAGAACGATATAATTCCACTTGTAAATCGCTAAGAATTTTTTACTCTAGAATATGCCCCGCTTGTTCGCCACGATGGAGGCCGACAATCGATGTTTTCGAAAAATAAAGTTTCCAAACGAGTAAATAACTCTGCTATTTTGTAACACGTTGACCCCACCAAAAGAGAAAAAAGAAAAAAAAATTGAGATACAAAGCTGAACGCCGGTTTATATAAACAAAAATTGGAGCTTTTCATTCAGTAATTGTCCGTGAAAAGAAACTCACAGGTTTCATTTATTTCTGTACGACTCAGAACGGTGCAAAAATACCCCATTGACTGAAAAATCATTTTACTTGAAGAAATGATCCAGCGAAAGCGCTGAAATCCAAGGAAATGGAACAACGAATATCGTTCCACTAAGCGCGTTGGCGGTTTTGTAACCAAACCACCACCATATTCACCGGTGCACGCATTGATTGCCAATTATTCACCGGTTGATTGCAGTTTATTTGTTAAAATTGGTATACACCGCACGTCACGGGGTAATGTAATAGTTATAAGCTTAATCGAGTATTCAAACGTACGGAACGAGAGAGAGAGAGAGAGAGAGAGAGAGAGAGAGAGAGAGAGAGAGTAGATTTATGGGTTTGTTGCTGGCACAAGGCTGTACCAAGCTATTAATAATGAATATTATTGCATCGCGGTTAAAATTTCCTTGGCTCGGCGCATTACAAATGTAAAATCAAACGCGTGTTCTCGCGCGAATGTTCTCTCTTCTTCTCCTTCTCCTTCTCCTTCTTCTTCTTCTTCTTCTTCTTTTACGTGTCACGAGATTCATGCTGTTATATATGATAACCAATTGTTTGATATCGAGGGCTTTCATATGAAAACCGGCGATTCAATCCCAGAGGCCAGGATAACGTAATCGATAGGATGCTTGATTACTGCAAAGCCATGGGGTCGCCAGTGTTAGTCCAGTTTCCAATACGCGGACCGGCAATTCCATTTTTTTTTTTTTTTTTTTTTTTTTTTTTGTTCCCCCTCCCGCGAATTTTCATTACCCATGCCATGTCGAAAGCGTGTTGTAATCACAGCGAGCAGCGCGGGGGCCAATTTAAAAAATTGAAAAGGAAATTTCCAGCACGGAAACAATACAACGAAAAAAACGAGAGAGAGAGAGAGAGAGAGAGAGAGACAACAATGAGTTCTCGATAACTGTGCAAATGAATTAAAAATGGGAGGAAAGGTCGTGTTTCGAGAAATGGCTCGAAATGGGATGCGAAATAAAAATGGACTGGTTCCATTTCGAGGAAGAAACAGAACGGGAGTAAAAACGTGCGAATTGCGAAGAGATAGGGAGTATAAATTTTTGAAAAAATGGCGACGATAGTGAAACCCAGTGAAGAGGGAAAGAGAGCGAGAGACAGTCCTTGGTATCGCGTTGCCCCGAATTCTCTGGCGCGCACAACAATGTTGCCCATTGTTCTGTCCAGAAAATCGCTCGAAAAATCGAGATATTGTTCCTGGTCTGGCACAATACCCCCCCAGAGAGGAACGCGTTCCAGCGAACCGCGCATTATCATCGACACGCGCGGCGAAATAAATTAGCGAGCGACAAAGCGGGCCAGCGCCCGATAACCCGGAGTTGCTGAATATCGCTGCGGATTCGTTCAAAAAAAAAAAAAAAAAAAAAAAAAAAAAAAAAAAAAAAAAAAAAA